CGATCAAAATATTTCAACTCCATATACCAAATTAACAATATAAATCAGGTCATCCTACCTAAATAAAAATGGTTAGGTTTGTGATGAATCTGCAAACAGTAGAGCCTACGTGGTCCATCTTGCTTCGTCATGTCGTCTCACATTTTCTGAACATGTCAAGTTTATAATTATAGATGACTTGCAAAGAGATGAGTTAAGCAAGTGAAGTCGGTCCAAACAATTTACACAGCTACGCCAAACAAAACTCAACTGGTGTTGACGAGAGAGGCAGAAGGTAGGGTATTTAGTGCTATAACAAGAACACGTTGCTTTCTTATCATTTATGTCTATAGATACACGCCAACACATTCAATTATGTGTGGTCACATACGAGTAAAATGTCATTTGCCTTCAATTATTGTTAAGTCATGTTTGCTTTGTATTTTAATGACTTTTTTTTGGGAAAAATATTTTTTGAAATAGTGATTTTCGGAAATATGTGTGTGTGAGTGAGTGAGTGAGTGAGAGAGAGAGAGAGATTAAAAAGTAGGAAAATATTTTGAATTTACGTGCAAAATATTTTATGTGAATATGTAATTGAAAATGAATTTGAGGGGAAAAAAAAGAATTTTGATAAAATGAATGTCAAATTGGGGGCTAAACATTGTGAGGTATGTGAGTTTGCACTTTCAACCTTGACGTAAATGTTCCGACTTCCAACCTCCTTTTTTTCCACTCTTGAAAATTGTTATCGCGAAAATCATATCTGGGGAAAAGCTTAATGTCCAGATTTTGATAAAATTTACGAAATTTATGATTAAAAAATTGTGAATCTTATAAAATATGTAATTAATTTAGACTTAAATTTTAATCCAAAAAAAAAAAGTAATTTTTGGTTGAATGGAATGATTGAAATTTTTTTTTTTTTTTTTTTTTTTTTTTTTTTTCTTTTTTTTTTTTTTTTTTTTTTTTTTTTTTTTTTAAATTTGTTGGTATTATGCACTGAATTCACATGGTAAATTATTAATATTCGAATGGATCAGTCGCTCTCGATGACTCAACTCCTTGTGTATGGTAGTAACTTGGCAGCAAAAAATAAAAATAAAATAAAATTGCATTGATGTGGATTCTTCATGTTAATAACTTGAACTTGAAAATGACTCAAAATTTTGCAAAACAAGGTTGGTGAGTTCAAGTATCCTCAACTTCAACAAGACTGGTTTTATATTCTATCTAAGTATTTAATCATATAATTTTATTTTAACATATCAAGATATGCCATATATTTTTGAGTATTTGAATGTGTTTAGACATTCAAAAGTTTCACCAAATGCATATTTTAAGGGCGTGTATTAAATCTAAACTTTTAAAAATATTTAGAGGTTTAAAATATCTAGATATATTCAAAGATTCGTAAACTTTTAAAAAGAATTGTGCTAAATATACATTCGACGTTAACACCTCGGATGATAACTCCCTCACAAAAGGGGGGTTAGCGATTTTTTTATTACGCCTTTCTTATGAAAGGGATGTACAGACTATAAAACTCTTTTAAAAAGTCATTAAAAATCATGGGGTATAAAATGATATGGAAATGATAAACAAACAAGACTGGAGATAAGGGTTATTGACAGGGAGCAGAGGTGGTATCTCCCTGTCAATAGCCTTGTTTCCAGTCCTGTTGCTGTAGCAGAACTCTAAATGATATTAAATCATGACTTTTTAGAAATTTTAAAAGGTCGCAGATTATTCAAATTGTCAATGACTTGTATAAAATTCTTCACACAAGAAATTTAAAGCATAAAATATAAATACTCTTCTCGCATTCAGCAAAATAAATAAATAATATCTTTTTTCATTCAGATATGTCTCTTTCATCTGTCATTAAAAAAAAAACTGTAGTTTCTCTCTCTTCAACCTGTTATTATTTTTATTCTCTTTTTAATAATTTCTCGTCTTTTTCTCCTCCTTTCACATCATTCTCTCCTTTAATCTATGAAAAATATCAATTTGTAAACAATAATTCTTATAAAAATTTTAGTATTGAAATGTTTAATCTTTTTTGTAGTTTGGTTTATCTTTCTTATTTGAAAAATAATTTTATTACTGTGTGTTGTGGATCATTTGGTCATGAAGTAGTGGTTCACAAGGATGTGTAAAATCTATAGAAATTTATGAACATTTTCATTGATTTTGTAAAAGTCAATAAAAGTTCATTGAACTTTCCAAAAATCATTTACTTACAAAAGGTCTCTAAAATCCTTTAAAAATCAAAATTGAACATCCCCTTAATTTTCGGGAAAAGAGCTTTTTAAGAAAGTTCAAAATTGGAGTTTATGTTTATCTAAAGCAACTTTATTTTAGAAAATAAGCAAATTTATAAATTCAAAGAAAAGCATTTTATATTTAGAGATTAAGAAAAATCGATGGCTAAGAAAATAACTGCTTATGCAAATACAATGTACAGTTTTTGCATGCAATCCATCATTCCAAGCTAGTCGAAAAAGAAAAGAAGCATTTCAAAAAAAAATGTTGAACCCCAACCTTGAGGATCCTCACTGCCCCGCCTCTAGAGATTTGTGAGGGAGGTAAATCGCGTGACGTACCCCAGCAGGCCATGGAAAAAGAGCTGTCTGTACACTGCGCCTACAATTAGTCAAATTTCATGTTTCAAGAATTGAACCCCCACACTGCGGCTATCAGCAAGGCGTGAGATAACCTCATTTCTATTCTTTGCACCACTGGACTATGCCCTGGGGGGCGGAAAAAAAAAAAAAAGCATTTCTGAAACTATTAGAATGAGCATCTAAAGCATGAAAGACTACACCAAGAAATACGAGATAAACTCGATTGTGAAGTTAGAGGAACTATTCGATTTTAAAATGTAGTTATATTTACAATTCATTCACTATATTTTCTCTTGGTGAATATCTGAAAACACCTTCGTCTTCTTACTCTCACTCTCTTCTTGTAATCTATAATCCCCTTGGCCCCCTCCCCGTGTTTATGTTGAATCAATTATTTGAGTGACTCGATAGTGAAGTTTCTCTTGGGTAAGTGTGTTTAACTCAACAAGTAAATTGACATAGTATATTAATTTTCTCAAAATCAATTTCGGGTGAATAAGAAATTACGATCAAAATATGTTATTTGAAGTCAAAATAAATTTGAAATCAAATTTGTTGAAAATCGGAAAAGTGTGCAATCCCCTAGGAACATCATAAGCTGAAAAATCACTTTATATAGCTCAAGATTGACGATTGAATTTGAGCTCCAACAAATACCAATAATCTTTGAACGGAAGATGATCTACGTGCTAGTAGATTTGGTCGAAGCTCACAGGCATGACGCGCGATGGGCCAGGCTAGGTTGTCCACGAGCCATGGACCTTAGGCCTCGGGCTTGGACTTATAGTAGGACCAAGATGATGTGTATATATTTGGTATAATAATATTTTTAATGGTATCATTTTTAAAATTAATATATAAAATATTTTATTATATTATTTATTTATCTTCCGAATTTTCTCTGAATGACACGTGTTTACTTCTATAAGGTGACAAGTTGCATAATTATCTACCTAACAGCTGCTGTCCAAACATGCTTTATTTATTCAACACACAACCTTTCAGAAATTATATCTTTTTTATACGACAATTAATTTCTATAAATTGGCCCTTAGATCTTGAATTTTATTCATTCATAAAAATATTATTTTGCAAACTTTCTCTCTCGCACTATTCCATGTGCTTCATTTCAATCCCAAACATTATTTTTTGCTTATTTTAGTCATCTTCCTGCTCATAGAGATCAAAATGTTAATCAGCTCTTTAGGTCTTTCAATTTGAAGTGTTACTATTACGAGTTGTTGTATCTTGGAAAACGAATACCAGAGTACTGTCAATACCAATGTGGACATTATCGTCTTAAGAAAATATAGTCTAACGGTTGGCTCCACCATATTAATTTATCTACTTTATTCTCTTGTTCGAGTAAGTCGAAACTCTATTCAATTTTTCACTTATCAAAAAATTATTTTGAATATATATAAATGCATGGTAAATTCGTTATTGCATTTTCCCAAAAACGTCGATGTTCCAAGCTTGATTTTGCTTAGAAATTGGAGATTCGAGAGAAATTGGCAAAGAAAACGTGAAAAGTAAAGAATGGATACCTAATTTTGTATTCATTGGAGACTACCATTAATTGTGTACACCTAAATTTTGTATTAATTTGAATCATCTCTCTTTCACTCATTTTTAATTTTCACAGCGCCATGGCATGTCAACACAACATTTCATCACGTCAGTGGAGAAGACTCTTTCAAGATCGAAAAATGGAATTGATTATTAGTAACTTAAAATGCTTTTAAACTATTTTCACTTCGATTGTTTGATGAATTATTTGTAATCTTTAAAAATAAACGAATATTCAACAAATATTCATGAAATATTAAACGGTTAATGTTTGCCTATAAAAGTTTTGCATAATTCATCTTTATGGAAATGTACCGTCAAAATTGCTGTACTTAATTTAGTAAATCATTATCATTACTTATTAGACAATATTTTGTATGAGAATGAAATTTGATTTGTGTATTCAAGTTATAACTATATCTGTTTGTTAGTTTGTACTTTTATGATCTCGATGATTAATAATTTAAACTTGCTGAATGTTTAATGTTTATATTTTTATTTGGATATATATTATTAACTTATGAATATGATGCTAGTTTAAAAATTTAATAAATGAAACTAGAACCAAATCAAATCAAATCAGAAATGAATGGTTCGATTCCGATTTGATTTCATATATCAAAAAAAATAAAAATATTTGGTCTCATTAGAAAGAAGTTATTGATTCATAATTCAATTCGATTATCTTGAAACTAAAACCAAATAAAATTGTATATACCCTAATTTGTAGTGTCATTATCATTCTACAAAATTGCTATTCATAAATAAAAGTCCAACAAACCTAGAATACCACTTTTTGGCAGTTCAGAAGAATACTCCCACAGTAAGCATCTATCTCAGCTTTTATTAATCATTAACTATGGTCACGTAAGGCCATACGAACAAAAATAATCCAATTTCCCCAGAAAACTTACTTTTTCACTTGAGAGAAAAAGGCTTTCTTGCACCAGTTCTTGTTTCTTTTCATTTACTCAACTCTCTCTCTCTCTCTCTCTCTCTCTCTAAAATGACACAGATAAAGAATTCTTTAAGACCCTTCATTTCAGGCGGATAAACCGGTGTATCATCACAGATCCAAGAGTACAAAAAGCTTGGTAATTTTCTGTGCTTTCTTAACCATTTTTCAATGAGTCATTCTCTCGTTAACCATTACTTAATTTGTAGACACCCAATCTTTACATTTTGCTAGTTTACTGTTTAACTGGTGTGTTCTTGTTAATTGATGTTCTCAAATAAATAAGCCCATTGGTTTTTGGAGCACGTCTTAAGTGTGTGTTTTATATTTCCTTCTTAGCTTGTCAATAATCCTATCACTAACTCGACGTTTTACTGTTCTTAAGCTTTTTTTACCATCTGCCATGGCTGATCTGCACATTCCTTGAAAGTTTGTTTATATATTTAAGTGCAATAGGGTCTTTGAAGCAAGGTTTGTTTATATATTTAAGTGCAATAGGGTCTTTGAAGCAAGGTTTGTTTATATATTTAAGTGCAATAGGGTCTTTGAAGCAAGGTTTGTTTATATATTTAAGTGCAATAGGGTCTTTGAAGCAAGGTTTGTTTATATATTTAAGTGCAATAGGGTCTTTGAAGCAATTTCCAGCTGAATTTTGCTATGAAACGCATTAATTTCTCTCAAATTTGATCTAATTTTTTTTTTTTTTTTTTTTTTTTTTTTTTTTTTTTTTTTTTTTTTTTTTTTTTTTTTTTTTTTTTTTTTTTTTTTTTTTTTTTTTTTTTTTTTTTTTTTTTTTTTTTAGTGTGGAATTTTTTTGTCAAGAATTGATGGGACCTTTCTTTTGTTTATGCATAAGGTCCATTTCCTACTACTGCTTTTGTTTATATTCTCAGGCTTTGTTATTTAGCATATAATTTAAGGTGTAGAACTGTAGAATTATTCTTTCCTATCTGCTACTTCAATAGTGGGTCATCTCGGTATCTGTTCCTTCACAATATTTTTAATTATTTGAAGATTTCTTTTCTGAAATACAGAGAAAAAATTTCATTTTTCAACTTTTGTCACTAGAAAAGGTTAAGTAAATGGACGAGGGAGTCGATTTTCAACGATGGGATGAATTAATACCAGATGCGCTTGGTTTAATATTCAAGAATCTGTCACTTTTTGAGGTACTTACTGTAGTACCAAGGGTTTGCAAGTCATGGGGAAGAGCAGTACGGGGCCCTTATTGTTGGCAAGAGATAGATATTGAGGAATGGAGTCGAAACTCCAAGCCTGAAATTGTCGACCGAATGGTTCGATTACTTATTGCGAGAAGTGGTGGCTCCCTCAAGAAACTGTGTGTCTCCGGTCTCTCTAGTGACCAGACCATTTTGTTCATTGCAAACCAGTAAGTATATATCCTGTTTGAGGTTAATCTGATGTGTTTTATTACTAAATAAAGTTAACTCGATCAATTGATTGACACTATCATACCATTGGTGTGATTTACTCATTTTGGATCACAGTTTTGCTATAGTTGCATCAAGTTTAAGTGTTTGACATTGTTGTGAAATGACAGTTTTTTATACGTTGATTTTAACATCACTTAAAACACATCTTGGAATGTCAAAATAAATGTACACAAAGAATGTACAGGTAGTTTAATTCGTTGGATTATATTCATTTTCTTCTGTTTTGGTTGCAAGTGCGAAATCTCTGAGGACTCTGCGACTACCAAGAAGTGAAATAAATGATTCGATTATGGAAATGGCTGCTGGGATGCTTTCGACTATTACTTGTTTAGACTTGAGCTACTGCATTAACATAGGAGCCGAAGCCCTTGAAGCCTTAGGGAAGCACTGTAAATTTCTCACCAGTTTGCGCCGCATAATGCACCCACTGGAAGTGATCAACAAACTTTCCCAAGACGATGAAGCCCTCGCCATTGCTGCTACAATGCCTAGACTCAAGCACCTCGAGATTGCCTACTTGCTTGTTAGCACAGAAAGTGTAATCGAGATTCTTAAAAACTGCAAACAACTCGAGTTACTTGATCTACGGGGTTGTTGGAATGTCTATCTAGACGAGAAATTTGTGAAAAAGTTCACGAAATTGAAGGTGATTGGACCCTTAGTTGTTGATTGTTATGACATGAATGGTTGGGAGAACTGCTCGGATTATTCAGCCTCGTCTGGTTACCTAGCCTGGGACTTTGTGGCTGGCGATATAGACGATGATTATGCTGAGATGTTGGGTGATCTTTGGGAAGATGAACATCCTTTGGAGGACATTGAAATGTGGTTCTACGACGACGTCAATGCTATTGATGCTGGATATGATTGGCCTCAATCTCCCTAAGTTATGATGAATACTAATGTAATTTTAGCAGGCTTGTGCTGAGAGAACTTGCTTACCTTCTGCTGTCTGTTGGGCTTGTGCTTATTATATGTACTACCTACAAGTTTACAATTTGGCTCTGTATCTTACTAATGCACTCTAGTAACGGGTAATTGCTGTGATTAATTGAATAAAAAATACTTGTTTCTTTCTACTTCCAACTATTTTACGGAAGTGTCACATTTGTGAAGTGAAATAGATGGAAACAAAAGTTTTTGACATTTTACGGCTTTCGAAAGACTATTGAATCAATTTTAAACGACTGTTTACAGCCGTTTTCTGAATAACAAACAAATGCTATGTCAATAAGCAATTCTGGACAAAACAGTACAATTAACAAGATTTTAATTTGGAAAATGCCGAAGTGCCAGAATTTTGATGATCGACCCTCACATAGAGCGTGAATACCGTGTGAATAAAATAATGCTCGACCCCCGAGATCTGAGCGTTAAGTCATTTCGCATGTCAACAATTATGTTTATATAGCATGGTCCTTTGAATTTTCATTAACTGCTACAAGTGTGAAAGAGAGAAAAAATGAACAGATCTTTGCAGATTTTCCAAAAGTCAATTATCGTGTTCTTCAGTCCCATAACAACTTGCTTGACAGTTCATGGTTTCGATGTGGGTAACAGGAAAAATATTATTTGACCATCTCTGAGTTAATGAAACAAAGATTGCATCCATATTGCAAAATCCCAACCTAATAACCATCACGATGAATCAACAGCTGGGAGTTTGAACACGATCAGTCCAATTCTCAACAACTTACGACTTAGAAGTCGAGCATTCAGTCCGATATTTGGCCTCGTCTTCGACCACCATCGGTAACTGCCATGTTCCAAGCGGAGAACCACTCGTCTTTCCACCTAAAAATGTAAATTACACTTGAGTACTAGGGGAAAGGGAGTCGTTTGATATATATATGCATATAAAATGATTACAGCAGCTACAGCTAGGTTACGAGAGATCAACTAATATAAAAACAAGTCCCCTAAAATGGCATTACCTTCTTTGGTAGCTTCTTCACATCTTTTCTGATACTTCAGGGACAGTTCTGGACCTAATTTTTTCAATAACTGATCGTACTTTTCTTCTGCCTCAGTTATAAATTTTGCCTTGGTACAATAAAAAAGGTTCAAGACAATGACAATGTAATAAAGTTTAGCTTCTCAAATAAGTAAATACAAATAAATATCAATATTACATTTTTCCACAGTAACAAAGTAAATACATTATCTAAAATGATCAATTTAGTTTAGGATCAAATTATTGTAGCATCAGTTAAAGATGAATATTATGATGTCCCTAGTTTGCATTCCAGACTTATTTTTCTCTTGTATGTTTGATCAAGAATACATAAGTACACTATATATTATAGCCACAGTCAAGCCCAACTTCATTGCAAATTCAACTGCATCAATTTTCAAAACGAATAGAAGTAATGAAGTCCAAGTCAATTTAGGGACATGTATAAACATCTAAAACTCACAGAGACGTGCAGAAAGAGAATCGGAGATAGTATCAGCAAATAACTGAGTTTTTAGTGCTTTCCTAAATATGCATCCAGCACCAACAAACATATTAGTTGCTCAATAAAATTATTAACGGAAGATAATTCTCCAGTTACAAGAAAGTTGAGAACTTTGAGAAATTTGTCTTAATCTCGTGCAAGGACAAGCTGTTTCACTTTTTAGTTCAAAGAAACAAGTGCCACAACAAAAAGAAGAGTAATATATTAGTAGTTCTATCAAATGATTGCTTAAAAAGAAGAGTAAAATATTAGTAGTTGTTCTGTCAAATGATTGCTTAAAATATGTACAGTGACAGTCTTAAGTAAAATTCCAGAATGACAAAGTTAAATGGAGGACTTCTGGAAGTGCTAGTTTGAAATTTAATATCAAGAGGAAATTGCAGACCCATTATTTGTCTTTAATAACATCAAATGCCTATCACAAGTGTGATAGTTCCATTCATAAAACCTTTTTGCATTAACAAAAATTAATTTAATACTGACCAGCATGGCTGGTGCTGCAGAAGCACCATAGAATCTGACAAACATGCGCAGAATGTTGAAATTATTGTTCAAAATGTCATCCTACGAGGAATAAAAACATTTTTAGCTTCAACCAACTGCAAAATGCACTTGGCAAGACGAGTATCGAAAGGAATAAAAGATCAAAGAAAGACACACCTCGTAATCAAATCTGCAGCATTTCTTGAGATGTATCAATGACAATCAACCAAATTTTGCTTCTCACATGCATTACGAAAGTAAAGAACTTTTTGCACTTAGTTGTAAAATATAAACATCTGCAATGTAATAGCCCAAGTAGAAACCACAAAAGAGATGCCACCACCAGGAAGAAGAATCACTTACAGGTCGTCTGATACTTCAACGAGCAACTCTGAAAGTGATAGAAATTCCATATGCAATTCATTTACCTTCAAAACAGCCAAAAGAGAATAATCCGTGAACTATATCACTTCCTATATTTTGTAATATAATATTTACTAGGCTGTTTCTGTACCACTTATCAAACCTTTTAAATGACAAATATAAACTAAGTCTTGTACCCAGTAAATCTAGGTTCAGCTACACAGAACTTATTTTATAACTTAATTCAGCTTCAGTCTATCGCTAAGTGGCATCAACTGAAACATTTACTGTAGTTATATCCTTTACAACCACAACAAGAGATGGTAATTTTGGTCTACCTCTCCCTCCTCTAACGTGTTATATAAGCTCATTTCTTATCTTACTATTTTAGTGTAGCCACACATGTCCGTCTCAATCTTCATTTCTTATTCATCTTATGGAGACTGTTCTTTTGTTTGTTTCTAGATGGTACATCATTTAGACATAGAGCAAACTAGCTCTAGTTTGTTATGTAAAACATGTTTTTAACCTTATAATAATATTCCTATTACGTGGAATTCCTGTAATACTTCTCCATTCTAGCCAGCCGCTTGGATCCTGTACAATGCATCCTCTTCAAATCCTCATTCCTAGTTAATAATTGAACCACCTGAACCAATCCATCTTGGGGACAATGTTATCCATAGCAATTCCATTATCATTCTTGTTCCTACTATTCAGAAAATGACATAGAATTACTTCATCTTAGTTCTCCTTAACAAAGAATGATATGATCTGAATTGTTATTAAACTTAATAAACTACTTACCTTCTCTCAAAATTATAATTGGTTGTAAGGTACAAGCATAAACTTATGTCAAAAAAACAGACATAAGGTAATTGTTGAAAAGTTGCATCCTATTTTTAAGGATATTAATTTGAACTGAGTTTCATTTATTTGGATTAGTCTTCCTAACAGACCTCTTTGTTATAATTCTTTTATTGTATCTGTAGCCTATTATTTAGGATTATAGTTTCTTTTTATTACCTTTAAATGGATTACGAGTCTTTGTATCATTTGAGAGATACAATTTTTTTCCTCTCAAGTTAACGTGGTATCAAAGCTCTTGTGATCCATAAAATATCTTGTTTATGTTGATGATATAATTATAACTGGTAACAATGAAATTGCAGATCTTAAAAGGATTCTTTCTAGGGAAATTGAAATTAAACACCTTGGAGTTTTAAAATACTTTCTTGGTATGGAAGTAGCTCAATCAGCCAACATAATTGTAATGTCCCAAAGAAAATACAATTTCTGGAAGTCGGTCAAAAAAACCAAGTGAAACTCCAATTGATCACAATAAAAAATTGGCTGCTCTAAAGATGGAGGATCAGTGGACAAGGAAACGTACCAAAAGTTAGTGAGAAAGTTGATTTTTTATCTCATACACATCGTGACATCGCTCTCTCAGTAAGTGTACTGAGTCAATACATACACTCTCCAAAAATAGAACACTTGCAAGCAGTTTACACTTTACAAGATTCTGAAATATTTGAAAAACTTACTCCTGGGCGTGATTTGTTGTTTAAGAAAATTTTGAGAAATTATGTGTTAAGGCTTTTACCGACGCTCATTGGGTTGGTTCATCAGTGACATAAGGTCTATCTCAGGTTATTGCACATTTACCAATGATAATATGGTGACTTGGTGCAGTAAAATCAAAGTGAAGTCGCTAGAAGTAGCGCAGAGAGCAATTGCACTTGGAATGTGTTAACTATTGTGGCTCAAAAAACTTCTTGAGGATTTGAAGATCAGATTTGCTGTTTCCATGAGGTTATATACAAAAAATAAAGCAACAATTTGCATAGCTCACAATCCAGTGCAACATGGTAGGACAAAACACATGGAAATTGATAGACACTTTATATAAAAATAATAAAAAATAAAAAGGAAAAAGTAACCTTAAATTTGGCGTGATTTGTATGTCATTTGTTTTAACGAAGGAGCAACTCGAAGATTACCAATGGTTTATCAAAGGCAATGTTTGAGTCATTTTGTTCCAAGCCTGGTTTGTTTCACATTTACTAACTAGCTGGAGGGGAGAGTTGAAAAGTTGCACTTAAAGGATATTAATGTAATCTGAGCTTGTTTTGTTTGGAATAGTCTTTCTAAACTCAAGACTCTTTGTTGTAATCCTTTTATTGTATCTGTAGCCTATTATTTAGGATTATAGTCTCTGTTTATTATCTATAAATAGATTAGGAGTCTTTGAATTATTTGAGAAATACAGATATATTTTTGGTCTCAAGCTTACAGTGATTGTAGTCAGAAGTACTAAAGAAATATCTGTGGTATCATTTACTTTTCTAATTTCATTGTATAAGCAAATATATGACATTTGAAATTGCTTTATAGAACAATACCTTTTCGCCTCTCATGTGATACAATAGAAGGTTAAGCACGCGATAGTCAAAAGATTTCAGATGAATAGCCCTTATTGCATCCTCAATCGATATCTGTGCAAGAATATCTTAAATCAAATCCAGCAATGTAAAACATTGACCTTGCCTTGATAAAGGTTACTTAAATACAGTGTTGACAGGTATTACAGAGATATTGGAGGGCTATTCAGAGATAATCCCTTTTCAATTTTTCAAGTAAAATTTCATCATCTTCATTTCTTTTCTTCATTTTATGAATTAACTCTCTTTTCTGAAGAAACACGTCAACTTGGACAAGAAGTAGCCGTGATTAGTAATTATTTCTTGGCAAAAAGTGGCAAAGGAAATAAAGGTATACCTCATTATCACTCATCAGTGCACAACATAGCTTTCTTTCCAGAGCCCAGTATTCCACTCCACTCCTAAGTTCTTCTTTAATCCTGAATGCATCAAGGGGTGAATCAAACAAAGAAATTTAAGCACCTCGATGCCTAAGTTTTCAGTTAAGAGAAAGCGGGAAATGAAGAAAATAGAAGTGGAAGTAGAACAGAAAGAAGCATGATGCTGAACCTTTGTGTCAGAAGCCCATGATACTCAAGTATGACTACAAGAGGTTTAACGGGATCATGTCTTAACATTCTCACAGATGTAGAACTCAGGCTTAGTTCATCTTCCTGCACTTCAGTCAAAATTAAATGGGAGAATCAAATGCTGACTTGAACATTAGTTTTATACGGAGTTTTTAGGTTCCATTAAGTTCTCACATCATAATCTCTATCCAAAAGAGTAGCTCCACCGGTAGGCAGCTGCAGTAGCTTCTCATTTAAACCATCCAACTGTATCACAAAAATCATATGACAATCAGGACACAAAAATAAGTACAACCTTGAAGCTTAAGCTCCATCTTTTCTGATATCTGACACATAAACGATGCATTTTCAGGAAATTAAAGCCAATTATTCTTTTATCCATTGGGTAAAGTTAATCTCCCAAGGTCAAAAAAGAAAAAGAAAAAGAAAAGGAGGAGGACATTAGTAAAACAGCATCTGTTCCTCCATCTGCTTGAATTATTTAATTTTCTCTAGAATCATGACACATAGATTTACAACCACTGCACCAGCTTCACCTAATATACTCACAAACTGTTCAATTTTTTTACTCCACCAATAGGAGTTCAAAATTATTAAGACACTCACCTGATAAATATAACTTTCAGTGAATGAAAGCATTGGTAAATATCTGAAAATTGACTGTGGCTGGTACGCGTCCAATTTGTGGAACATAAAATATGACCTGCACTGTTAATTTGAAACGATTATACATCATTGTTTCTGATAAAACCATTATATACAAGTTCAGCAACCAGAACAGGATTTACTAATTATGTAACAAACAGTAAATTTGTCACAAAGGGTCCTAAAATGACGAGAAGAAATAGATTAAATTGAGGAAGTTTATAATAATCACAATCATGACAATGCTTTGAGCATATTCTCGACAATATTTCCAGTCGAAGAAATCCAACATGATATCATTTTTGCAGAGAAAGTGCAAGTTGTCAGCTTCACAATTTAATTGAACTTGATGGTTTAAAACTCATCAAAAACTTAAATCTCATGTGTCATATTGCTGATGATTGTAGATAAAACTTCACTCCTCGTAAGTAACAAAATCTTGCAAGAACAAAGCTTATATTAGTGATCTTCACCAGGTTATGCTCATAATTTGCCTTCTATGTTTCCTTTCTGTTAAATTTTGGGGGGGGGGAGGAATTGTCACTGGAGAATAGAAAAGAGAAGTAGTAAGCATCCATTCAGTGAAAGAGGGCATATTGTGGTATTTGAGTGCCCAATTCATCCCTACACAAGAAAATCACCACCAACCATAAAAGAAGGGGCATGAAATTGTTATACTAAATATACTAAATAGATTAAGCAGCACAAGGGAAGATATAAAGATAATTCAGAAAGAAATATGCAATCCTAAAATCTATCACTCAGATGCATCAAATTAGTACTCACAAAATCTTCTAGGGTTGAACTTGCTCTTAGCATTGCATCCAACCGCACCATTGCCACCTCATCAGAGATACTTTGCACTAGATCAGGATCTGCTTCATGGTAACAATGTAGTGATACAGCACTTTCAATCTGGTTTCCAACTGCAAATATACTTGATGTCTGAGCAACATAAAGATGAAGTTAAGACAGTTAAATTTTTACATCATAATGGCTATCTTGAAGTCCAAATCTGCTTGCGTTCATGGCTCATAGTCCAGATGACATGCAGGGCAATGCTGTCGATAGAGTTCCCATGTTCTTTCTGAAGAGCTATTTCCCCATGTATATGAAACGGACAATTAGCTATGGCTCACATCTGCTTTTGGGTATTTTAGAAGACGTGTCTACTGTCTTCTACTTCCTATCAGAACTGTGGATCACAGAGTTACAGGATGTACAGAAGACCATAATATCTATGTGAGGGAGAATAAGACATTTCAGGCTGGGAACAGATTTGGAGAGAGCGGATTTGGCCAAGGACAGAATCCTGGAGGAGACAAAACAGAATATTGGATCAGTGGTCATTGTAAAATGAAGAAGATAAGAGATGAGAATATGCGCCAAGAGGTAGAGCTTCACCAATTGAGTATAAATCAAGGACGGACACCTTAGATGGTTGGGATGTGTTTTGCATCGAAAATTGTCTCTAGTTCATAAGAGCGATGTGATATTGGTAGAACAAGTCAAAAGAAGGAGGGATGGACTAATTCATTCATCTGTTATAGTTGCCAAGCATCTAATTGCTTAAAATCTTGCAATAATCAGAACTGTTACTGAATGAGTGGAGAAAAAATATTTATGTAACCAACTCTAAATTTGAGGGGAAACAAGGCTTAGCTTGTTCGTGTTTTTCATTTCATCTCATATTAAGTGTAATACGGAACAATAAAAGGACCAAAATTTTAGATTTCTAATATTTTTTTTACTTTCAGATTCTTTATGAAATTTAGTTCTAAAATCATTCAAAGAATGATTTCTGATACAGAAGGAAAACCATGACCACCTAATAAGGAATAGTCACATAGAAGAATTATGATAACAATATTCATAGTAAGTCGACCATCACTATTGCTTTCAAATGAAACATACCTTCCCCACTATCACATTGCAATGCTCCCGTGAGATAAGCAGTTGAAATCTGCCAAACCAAAATATTAATAATATGTGCAAGCTTACAGTTCCCCTGGACTTGCCAAGGAATTGATAGCAGATTAACCATACCTTCGCAATATGTTCAGCAATCAATTGGCACTTAGTGGTAATGTCAAGCTTACCGCAATGTTGAACCTTCAATGCATTGTAGTTGAGATGAGCAAGAGGAAAGAGCTCATTCGATCAATTAGTATTTGTTTATGTTTAACAAAGTGAAGTTGTTAAAAACCAAAACAAAACCCCAGGATAAAGGAGAAATAAATTGTAAGAAGAAAGTTATTCACTCTCATGACTCGCACATTAGAATGAAAAACGTTTGACAGCGGCCAGATCAACATAATTCACATCAATTCTGGTGATATTATCATCAATACATACTCAACCTTTTTGACATTTTGCAAAGTACGAATGTGTAATAACTTTCCCTACATCCTATTATTGAATAACTTTCACTATACATTCAAAACAAATATGTATTATACAAGCGCACAGATATATCTTAATTCCTAACTAAATCATCAAACCACCTAAATGCAAAAGCCAAAGATTTCTCTTTTATTAAGGTATTACTGAAAAACAAGCAAAGTCTGAAACACTCTTGTCATTAGAGCCTAAAATACATTACATTCAATTTGTCTACTTCAAGATTACAGCATTATTAACCTAAGTAAGTTATTAACCTAAGCAAGTTACGAAATATGAGATAAGGAGGGAGTATAGGTGGGAGTGGTAAATAGGTACCAAAAGGAGGGTGAAATTTGCGAGGAAGCGATCGGAATCGGCGTTTTTGTTGGAAGGGTTAATAATGCCAATTGATTGAAGCACGCGTATCGTCCTCTGTACTTGTTCTAGCTTCTTCAGACCTTCCATTTCAGCGTGAGTGATACGAGAAGAATAACAGGGAGGAGAAAAGTGTAACGCCTATGTGCGCGTGATTCTGTTTCGCCTTGAAGGAAGGTACCGGAGCCGGATGAGGTAATGAACAGTTCAGGCGCCGGCCGGGGAAAGCAAGGAGAATGGGAAGAAAGTTCTAACAACGTGTTTCTAATTAAAACGTTAAGCAAAATGTAATTAATCTCCATTACAATGACAACTTTACCTCCAATACCCTTTTAAACGATTTGAGCTTCTCTTTTTTTTCTTTTTTTTTTTAATCAATGTGTCCGCTTCGGCGACTATTCCTTGGATTTGTGATCCCCTCTTCACACAAACCAGTTAAATCGCGAGATGTGCCTCCAACTGACAGTGTCCGAGACCTCTCCAACTGGACTGTCAAAGTGCCTAGTAAGCAAACCCATGTTGCGCCTTGCCTTCCAAGACAGTCCTGCCTTCAAGGATAAATCCTATCTTTCAGTATGTGTCTTGCCTTCCAAGAGCCCCAAGAATCGAATCCACGACCTCTTATATGCCAATTTTGAGAGAACACGCCCTTTGTCAGTGGAAAAGTACCCCGGGGGCGCCAATTGAGCTTTTCTCATACTGTTAAATGGGTCAAGCAATCGAATCCACGACCTCTGATCTGCCAATTTTGAGAGAACACGCCCTTTGTCAGTGGAAAAGTGCCCCAGTTCCAAGACAGTCCTGCCTTCAAGGATAAATCCTATCTTTCAGTATGTGTCTTGCCTTCCAAGAGCCCCAAGAATCGAATCCACGACCTCTGATCTGCCAATTTTGAGAGAACACGCCCTTTGTCAGTGGAAAAGTGCCCCGGGGGCGCCAATTGAGCTTTTCTCATACTGTTAAATGGGTCAAGCTGAATTGTCGACTCAATCATAGTTAGATACGATTCTATCCATCGTACAAGTTGACTTGTGCCCTTGTGTAATGCGAGTCGAGTTGATCACAACTCGCCTCACAAGCTTATCCTTTGTAGTGTAAGTCAAACCAACTTGCAGATTGCTCGTTGTTATTTTAAAAAATATGAAAAAAATTAAATTGAAAACTCACTTCAACTCCTCAAAGTGTAATGAAAACTCGCAAGGAATTTATATTTTATCAAAATAATTGTGTAAATGTAAGATAAAGGTAAACGCAAAAATCATCTTTCATCAAATGCATTATAAGTTAGTTGAAATCATCTTCCTTTTTTCAAGCTTGAATTGGTTACAATACGCAGATGAAGTTATAATTGTATAGAATGAATATTTTGTATATAATTTTTTTAAATAAATAAATATAATACAATAATGATTACGAAAACGAAATATAATTAGAATTTTACCTTAGTAATCTGCAGTTACACATTCAAAAGATGCTGAGAGATTGCCTTCATCTTCTTGAAGACCAATGTCTATACAAACATGTGCTTCTATTCGGGTTATAACGTTGATTAGATCATATGATACATCTCGATCTAACATATGATTTCTCATAATAGGTCTTATGTCTGTAAGTACTAATAAAATCATGAGTGTTGTGAACAAGTTCTTGGTTATACTAAAGAATACTGAATATTAAATTTAATGTGCATTCCACCATTGAAGTATATTGAAGAATATAGCCCATACTAATGTCACGTCCCGTGTTGGTATTCTAGTTATATTGATTTCATACATTTTGAACACAAAAAAGATTAAATCTATGTAGTTCGAACTAGGGTAAAAATTAAACAATTCTATAATTCATTCTTATAGTATTGTTATATTTGTTTCGAAGGTAAAATTAAATTATTTTGAAATAAATGAAAGCAATGTTTGGCGTCATTCAATTTGAGGCAGTGATCGCAAGTTGCAACTAGGAGAAAGATAATTAGTACAGAAAAAATATTTTTAATTGTATTTTCAGCGCGACACATGCCTTGAGTGATAGAGAATCTTCACCCTACAATGTAAGAAAACTAAATAAATTTAACAAAAAAGGTTAAAGAGGAACTTAAATTGGATAAATGGGTATCACATTGCACAGAACATGAAACTATGTTTAAAATAACAAAGTTTATATGTTCCACTAATCATCGATCAAAACAAATTCATTTTGAAATTAATGACAAAAAATAGTTTTCGGGTTTCTATAACAAATTAAAGTTCCCAGACAATTATAATTTTGTCCAAAATTTATGTGAAAAATGTTGGTTAATGAATTTTAATCATCACAATAGGAAATTATTTTTCCTTTGAAGATTAAAATTAAATAAGGATTTAATTGACCTTGAGATCAATTGATTATAAAATCCTCACATATATAGAATGTGGAGATGATAACCTTTTTGAAAGAGCTATTAATAGTCTAGCCAATTGCTTCCTCCCTTAGATCTTTTCCCTTGTTCTCCACTAGGTGTTATTCTTTTTGGGAAATGTGAAAAGTGGCTAACTCTAAAATCACACCAAAATATGTCAATAATGTGCATATTTATAATGATCTATTAGGGTTTGAAAATTGCACAAATTTTCTTAGACTTTATTGTAGTGTGCCAATTAAGTTACACACATTTTTATTGGAGCCAAGAGAGGGGCCTAATTGGACTCACATGACCAAGTTCCAATAGATGTTTTCAATTGGGTCAACTCTTGACCAATTGAGATACATCTATTAATCCCGACTTATTCTACCAAAAAATCAAGATTGCACTCTCGAATCGAGTGATAATTATAGAAACAAATTATGATCCAATAAAAATATCTTCTGATTATCGTTCCACAAGTCAATCCCCATTTAACCGTCAATATGTTGAAATTGGCAAAATGACCGTTTTTCCCTTAAACATGTATTACCCTCTAAGTTCTATTTTCATACGGTAAATTCGTTATGATCAAATCACAATGTAAAGTCCAACAATCTCATCGTCGACCTACTGAGTTCAGATTCAATTTGCCTAGGAAAATACCTTAGAGTGACGATCGTCTCATCTCAATGATTAATGGATTCCAATATTGTAAGTATATGATCTCTAATTATTTCGACCAAATTCCCAAAGCACCGAGATCAATCTTCTATATAAGACTTCACTTATTGGTACCTCAAAGAACTTGAACTAGTAATCAAAGATATATTACTCACTCAGGATTTAGGTGACCTGTTTGATAATCAAGTAGAATTTCATTTCAAACGGTAACTAATGAGTCATCTACACGATCCCGTTCAATGTGCATCAAAATACATTATTGTTCCTATTTCAAGATCTAGACAAATCTTAATAAGAACAATACAATCTTATCAACACAAAACGTCCAACTTTATGAACCGATTGTGAATGACATAATTTTTATCACATCACAAATTGTGTCTTACTATACCCGATCCATCGAGTATACAATTTGTGACATCCTCTATGATCATGGAACCTTAGGCAATCACTTCAAATTATAACACGCAAATAAACTAACGTAAATTCATAATGTGATTTTACAGAACATTACACGAAAAATGGGCGTCAAACTAACAAAAAAAAATGTAATTTGAATACCGTTAATACCGTTTTGGAGAATATGAGAAAAATTAAGTTTAAAATGACATTTATGCCTATATTTCCTATTTTGTATTACTAATTTTCCTAAAGTACCTTCTAATAAATGGGAAGATTTTTCTATTTGGCCTGTCATTATTCTTTTTTATTGAAAGGTCTATATTACCTTTAATAAAATGATTCTTTCTATATTACAATATATATCCTGATCTTTCAAACATTTTATCTTCTACTTTGAATATTTGAATATAAATTCATTTTATGATCTAATAAAATAAGAATAATCTGCAATATATATTTCATATTTTATAATTAAAATGCTATATTTCTCAAATGGTAAATTTATATTTTCTTTATTTTTCCTAACATTCTTTCTAATAGATTATCTAATTCTTCAATTGTATATCTTGTCATTTATACAAATAATTATCAATTAATCTCTATGATTCTTCTCTATGATTCTTTAAGATCTTAAAAAGATTCATGCTAATTTTAGCAAAAGTTTAATGATTTTATCTTAGGTTTGATCTGGACTTTTATTCTTAGAACAGAGTGACTTTCGAGCTCTGAATCTATAAACTGCTTCCTTCAACGACCTCCTGCCTTCATGGAATTGTTACTATTTCAACTACTTGCTCTCATTATATCAATTTCTAAAGAATAAAATTCTAGATTTCTGTTAAACAAAAACCTTCTTTTTGCTAAAATAAGAAGGAAACTTTTTATCAGATCCTTCAAGAATCAATGGGAATAAATATTTAGAAACTCATATTCATATCAAATTTTTGGAGTTTTATTTCTTATCAAAATTTATACAAGATTTCTATTTGGTACAAAGGAATTTCCAGAAAAACTGATTTTTCAAATTGAGAATGATTTTTAGAGTAACTATTGCTTACGACTCGAGATTTCAAGATAAGAGGAGATGTCCTCTATCTATCACAATGACTTTATTTATACAAGTTTATGAGACTCTATTACATCATTGAGTACATCAGCAAAGACACACTTGTCTCTCTATTATTTTTTCTCCTTGGACCTACATCTTCACATGTTGTTTCAACTTCTTATCCAAAGAGCATCTTTTTCTATTATTGCTCTTTTTCTTCAATGTTTCCACATGTAGCTGTATTATTGTCCTCCATACACTTTTGTCAAAGGTGCTCTATTATTGTCCTCTTCTTTTATTTTTTCACATGCAATTGGGGCACTCTCTTAACTGGCAGGATTCTTTTGTAGTGGTAGGACATCCTGAAAATTGATATATATTGAATCTTGTAATATAGTCCTTTAAATTTCTCATTTTTCATATCTTCCATTAGATACCAGCATCCAATTTTCATATTGGCGCAAGTATGAGAATTTTTTTATCAAACAAATTTTTTGCAATGTTGTAGATAGCTTTAATTCGAAGTGCTCTCCTGTGTCTGATCCATGATTTTGTCACTGTCAAAACTTTTCTATTATTTTTTGTAACATCAATGTGGAAATTGGCTGCAATATATCCAATTGAGATTATGTGTTCAATTGGATAGTAAATAAATCCATCATATCCTGTACTTATTGAATAGAATTTCAAATATATTTTCCTTCTTTTGGCAAATTCGGATACTTCTTTTATGAACATGTCATCAAATTTCAAAATTTCAATCAAATCTTTTTCTAGATATATCAAATCCATGAATCCATAAT